TCACAGGCAAATGCGCCCTGTGATCAGTGTTTGGGGAACCTTTTAAAATGTAATGGCAACACAAGCGTGATGTGCAATTGCAGCGTATTTGTGCTGCTGACTGTATGTGAGTACAGAGGTGGGTGGGAGCAATCTCCTGGAGAGGGAAGGCAGATGCAGGGTGCATGTTAATGAGGTCAGCTGCTTAACTACTTTCCTTAGTTCACTAACAGTTTCCTATCCCAAATTCCAGGAAGAAAACCAGTATGTAATGGAGGAGTTTTCTATAGCACACAGTGGAAGCTGAGGCAACACCTGTCCTAGAGCCTGAAGAAATCTTTTTCCTTTCTGCAACAGAGGTGCATTCATGGTATATTGGTACATAGGGAAGCTGGCACTTAGCCTTTAACTGTCTCCCGCCCGCCATATAGTCCAATGACAGGCATAAGGCGGTTCTCTCGTTCTGGGGAGGACGTCATATGACGTCCTCCCATTCTCACTGCACATGCGCGGCTCTGGGAGTGCGCAGCAGCGCGTGATCCGCGGTGTGCTGTGTCCGTTGGACACAGCGGATCACCGATCCATGGAAAAAGCCAAAGATGTCAGCTCGGTCATGTGATCAGCTGTGTCCAATCACAGCTGATCGCATGTAAACAGGGAAATGCCGGTTACCGGCATTTCTCTCCTCACGAGCTGTCACGCTGACAGTTCAAGAGGAGAGCAGAGCCGGTAATCGGCATTCCTCGGAGGGACATGTACACTGATCATCAGAGCACTGATGATCAGTGTGCCCTGATGATCAGTGTAGCTCCAGCAGTGCCACCTGTCAGTGTCCATCAGTGCCAGCTCTCAGTGTTCATTCATGCCACCTGCCAGTGCCACATCAGTGCCTACCAGTGTACATCAATGCCACATATCAGTGCCCATCTGAGATGCCTTTCAGTGCCACCTATCAGTGCCAGACAGTGCCGCCTACCAGTGTGCATCAGTGCACTCAGTGCTGCCTGTCAGTGCCACCTATCAGTGCCATATATCAGTGCTGCCTTTCAGTGCCCATCAGTGATGCCTGTCAATGCCCATAAGTGCCACCTACCAGTGCCTCCTCATCAGTGCCACCTATCAGTGTCCATCAGTGAAGCCTATCAGTGCCCATCACTGCAGCCTCATTAGCACACGTTAGTGAAGAAGAAAAATCACTTATTTACAAAATTTTATAACAAAAACTAAAAAAAACGGTTTTTTTTTTCACAATTTTCAGTGGGTTTTTGGTTTAATTAAGAAAAAATAAAAAAACCCAGAGGTGATTAAATACCACCAAAATAAAGCTCTATCTGTCACAAAAAAAATTATAAACATTTCAGTGTACAGTGTTGCATCACCACGCAATTGAAATTCAAAGTGTGACAGCGCTGAAAGCTGGAAATTGGCCTGGGCAGGAAGGGGGTATAAGTGCCCTGTAGGCTAGTGGTTAAGTTAGAAATTATTATCCCTTACCTAAAAGCACTTCATAGCTTGAAGGAGAAATATTATCAAACCTCATTTATTATGTAAATACTTCAATTTGAAGAGTGAAACACAACTTTGCAATAAATTCAATGTGTTTTAATGGACACATAAAGGGAACCTGAACTGTACATGCTGTGTCCAAAAAAGGCAAGAAGAAGACAAAGGACCAGTCACCAGTCATTTCAATAGGTAGCTTGCCATGCCATGTTCAATACTGTAGAGTTGAATTACTAAAGGCAAATAGGCTTTTCACTTTGCAAAGGAATTTTTCCTAAAGCTTAGCAAATGAGATGAAGCTCTGCTGACTTCCACCGTCCAATCATGTGCAAGCATTTTCCATGCACATGATATGGTATTCTTTGTAAAATGAAATTTCACCACATTCACTGAGCTCTGGGGAAAACTTCCTTGCAAAGAGAATGGCCTATTTACCTTTAGTAAATCAATCCCTGTGTTTCAATGTGGGGACTTGAGCAGGGTTTTGCTGTCATATGTCAGAGACACCCTCACCCCATCCCGGCCTTAGTACTGGAGATCTAATGAAGAATAATTATTCATTCTTTGTGTGCTTTCTGAACCTCTACTACTGCTGCTTAAAGTACAAAAGTGATGTGTTTGTCTGCAGGTCTCCAGCTACAACTTCCCCTCCAGCAGCGAGAACAGTGAGCATCTCAATAGTGTCATTGCCTAATTACATTAGACTGGCAGTCAGAGGCACGGTGCATTCAATGATCGCACATTACAGATATACAGTTATGAGGCTCAAGGCACAGAAAATGTGCTGCTATTTTTTAGGAGAATGAAAAAAAGTAAATTTTTAGGATATTGCTTAGAAACCATTAATATTTCTACTAGAAATGTTTAGTTTAACAGCAAATCTTCACTTCTTGATTTCTGGTCCCCTTTAAGAAGTTAATCATTCCTTCAACTTGTCTTCTCTCTTTTTTTCGCAGTGAACACGGGCTCCCTGATGTGATTCTGAATTGAATCCTCTACTGCTGTGCATGAGGTAATAGCAAATTAATATAAAGAAGGAATTAAATTTTACAGTTCAGCATTTTTCCTGTGAAAATATATAAAAGCTAAATAAATTTAGATTTTACGTATTCCCTCTTTAAATATTAGAAAAATACCTAAAATACAAGATAATACATTTATCTCACCATGAACTACACATACACATTTCATTTTCCTGAGGACATAAGCAAAGTGCCTGGTGGTACTTATCCATTGCACCTGCACATAATACACTTGAGTCTACAACCTTATTTTCATTGTGTTGTCTCCCTTTTGGTTCCACCATTTTACTAAACATTAGTCTTTCTGGAGAGGCAATCCATTTGTTTGTTCCTTGTTTTGTTTGAAGGATTGGCTGGTCTGACTCATCTGGAAAACATTCTTGACCATATTGGTAATCATTCTGATATCCTTGGATGCTATCAAAGCATACTTCCCTGTTGTCCAATATATTAATGTCATGGAGTGTTGTATGTACGTCACCCAGCTTGTCCAACAAGTAACCATGTGCATTTCCATCTTTATGCTCTATAGGGCTAGGCATCTTTTGAAGGAAAGGTAACTGATGGACAGCTCTACTAAAAGTCTCTGGAAGCCAAGAGGATATGTGGTTGTCATAATATATTAATCCGGTTTGTAAACATCTTTCAAGTTCCTCATCCTTTTCGGGATCCTGCTGTAAGGACTGAGACATTGGATGGCATATGCCATAAGAAGAAGCAGCAATAATGTCATCTTCAGCTATGATGTCATCAAAAAGACTCTCAACTGTGCCAACCTCATCAGAAACATAAGCCAAAGTGTCCATGGTAACACCTACTTTAGAAATTACATCTGGAACCAAGTATGCTTCAGCCACACCAAGAAGGTACTGTCACCAAGGCATACTTCAGGGAGCTTGGAGAGGTTGGTTGAGAGATTAAATACGTTTGGTAGCACTCTGCCTTTCCTAATATCAGTGGGTAAGTCACTCCTGTTTTGAGATGCCGTAGAATCCAACGTTTTATTTGTTGATGTTTCTTTTTTTCTACTGCAGCTTCCTGTGAGAAAATTGAAGTTGCAAGTTGATGCGTGGCAGCTTCTATGATGGCGTATTTCCTATAGAGATAAGTACAGAGAGAAAAAATAACAGAAGGAACTTTTTAAAAACTATTCTAACAGCTGATACTTTCATTATTATTGTCATTGTTCTATGACTTTGTCAAAAGTGCTGTTTCTAATTGGCAAGATATACAATTGTAGGAAACCTTCACTTTATTTAACATATTCCGAACCGCCCGCAATCTACTGTGGACCGTGTAGGCAAAGCGACATACTGGTACATCGCTGCCTGCTTCCTTGCAGCCCCTGCCCATGCCGACACCCACTGTGATTGTACACAGCGGGACCTGCTGATTAGCTGTGTCCAATCACAGCCCAGAGCCCTGTATCAACAATTCAACACAGGCTCTGTACAGAGGGAACAATCTTTCTGTTTCTCATCCCTGCAGAGATAAGAAATAAAGAGATGTCTTAGTAAAAACAGCACACATTACCCACATTCCATATTATTAAGCACATATTTAACCCCTTGATCGCCCTAGATGTTAACCCCTTCCCAGTCAGTGTCATTAGTACAGTGACATTGTATAGTATTATCACTGATCACTGTATTAATGTCACTGGTGATGTCAGTGGCAGTTAGCCAGTTCCCCTCAACGTCAGTTAGTGTCAGATTATCTGCTGCACTATCGTAGTCCTTCTATAAGTTGCTTATCACTGCCATTAGTATTATAGAAATAAATACATAAATAAATATTCCAATATACAGTATCTCACAGAAGTGTGTACACCCCTCACATTTTTGTAAATATTTTATTATATCTTTTCATGTGACAACACTGAAGAAATGACGCTTTGCTACAATGTAAAGTAATGAGTGTACAGCTTGTATAACAGTGTAAATTTGCTGTCCCCTCAAAATAACTCAACACACAGCCATTAATGTCTAAACTGCTGGCAAAAAAGTGAGTACACCCCTAAGTGAAAACGTGCAAATTGGGTCCAAAGTGTCATTTGTGTGGCCACCATTAATTTCCAGGACTGCCTTAACCCTCTTGGGAATATAATTCACCAGAGCTTCACAGGTTGCCACTGGAGTCCTCTTCCACTCCTCCATGATGACGTCACGGAGCTGGTGGATGTTAGAGACCTTGCGCTTCTTCACCTTCATTCACATTCATGGTTCCCTCAATGAACTGTAGCTCCCCAGTGCCGGCACCACTCATGCAGCCCCAGACCATGACACTCCCACCACCATGCTTGACTGTAGGCAAGACACACTTGTCTTTGTACCCTCACCTGGTTTCCGCCACACACGCTTGACACCATCTGAACCAAATAAGTTTATCTTGGTCTCCTCAGACCACAGGACATGGTTCCAGTAATCCATGTCCTTAGTCTGCTTGTCTTCAGCAAACTGTTTACGGGCTTTCTTGTGCATCATCTTTAGAAGAGGCTTCCTTCTGGGATGACAGCCATGCAGACCAATTTGATGCAGTGTGTGGCGTATGGTCTGAGCACTGACAGACTGACCCCCCACCCCTTCAACCTCTGCAGCAATGCTGGCATCGCTCATACGTCTATTTCCCAAAGACAATCTCTGGATATGACCCTGAGCATGTGCACTCAACTTCTTTGGTCGACCATGGCGAGGCCTGTTCTGAGAGGAACCTGTCCTGTTAAACCACTGTATGGTCTTGGTCACCATGCTGCAGCTCAGTTTCAGGGTCTTGGCAATCTTCTTATAGCCTAGGCCATCTTTATGTAGAGCAACAATTCTTTTTTTTCAGATCCTCAGAGAGTTCTTTGCCATGAGGTGCCATGTTGAACTTCCAGTGACCAGTATGAGAGAATGAGAGCGATAACACCAAATTTAACACACACCTGCTCCCCATTCACACCTGAGACGTTGTAACACTGAGTCACATGACATTGGGGAGAAAAAATGGCTAATAGGGCCCAATTTGGACATTTTCACTTAGGGGTGTACTCACTTTTGTTGCCAGCGGTTTAGATATTAATGGATGTGTGTTGGGTTATTTTGAGGGGACAGCAAATTTACACTGTTATACAAGCTGTACACTCATTACTTTACATTGTAGCAAAGTGTCATTTCTTCAGTGTTGTCACATGAAAAGATAGAATAAAATATTTACAAAAATTGAGGGGTGTAATCACTTCTGTGAGATACTGTATATACCATACTTTGTAGACGCTATAATGTTCACAGAAACCAATCAATATACACTTATTGGGATTTTTTTTTACCAAAGACATGTAGCAAAATACATTTTGGCCAAAATTTATGAAGATTTAAAAAAAAATGTATTGGATATGTTTTATAGCAGAAAGTAAGAAAATATTGTTTATATCACAAAAAAAAAAAAAACCCCAGTGGTGATCAAATACCACCAAAAGAAAGCTCTGTTTGAGTGAAAAAATGATGTAAATTTTGTTTGGGTATAGAGTTGCATGACAATTACTACTTAAAATAGCGCAGTGCTAAACAGGAAAAATGACCTGGTCATGAAGGGGGTAAAATTTTCTGGAGCTCAAGTGGTTAAATTTTAGGCAAATAAATGTTTTTTTCTACAGGGAGATGCTTTTGATGACAAAGTGCAGCAAACTTAAACTATTGTGATGCTAAGGAGATAACTGTCAACCAACGGGTAAATATCTCAATAGGAAAGAGTATCAAATGGTCAGTAAACAAATGGATTCATA